CATGAAAATCTTAGCTCCTCACCATCCGTTGTTGCTTTATTTTATGCTTCATTGTAAATGGTGACAGACTGTGAATCAATATTTTCTCCCTTTTCTTTCCACAAAAAACCTGAAGAAAATATTGCCCTATATTTTTCCCTTCCCATCTGTGGAATGATACAACATCAAATGCAAGTCACCAGTTTACTGTTAAAAAGGGGGCAATTGAAATATTCACACAAAATAGTGTAACAAAAGTCAATGCAGTAGTTTAGGAAATTTTGCTGACTAAACATTCTTAAACTACTGCATTAAATTGCATATTACACTACTTAGGAATTACACTGTATTTTATAACACTGAAACTGACCATTCAGATCTTTTCCACTTGAATGCTTTGTATGAGCCTCCATCTACCTCAATGTACTCCACTCAATCGACTTTTCCATCTATTTCTCTCTTTTTCATGCTTATCTAGCTTCCATTACATGCATCTATCCTGTCCAATAAATATTGTATATTGTTGCAAGTTCTAATTTTCCCCACATTACAAGTAAATAAATCTCTTCAGAGTTTGGGAAATTTTTTTAAAGGGCTAAGTCATCTATATTTTCCCTAGATTAGGATTCCTCCCTAATTGGAAACATTTCTTCTACATTAATACAGTAACAGAAGTCTTTCAAGTTAAGTTAAATAGAAAACCTTATGCTCATATGGAGCATAAACAATGCATTGACCAGTCAGGACAAATGATCAATTCTGTGTTGTAAATGTCATGCAATAATAAAAATGCCCCTTCATTTTAAACAACTATCAGTCTTCCCAATCCCAGAAATTACATAAAACAATACCAGTTTGTTCTGTCGTCTTGGTGGATGTACACTTTCAGTTCTGGTGTCATTCTTATAAATCTATTCTGCACTTCCTCGAATGCATCTACATTCTATTTAAAATACATATATAAAACCCAAACTGTACTTTAAATATGGTTGAAATCTAGGTGTACACAACTTTATTCTCTACTTTTAAATCCTATTTCACAAGAAAACAAATGTAACTTTTATTGTATTACTTATTCCTTTGTTCACCAGTGTTGATACTTCTAATAAGTTATGGATGTGCTCTCCTAGATCTCATCAATTTAGACTAACTTCCAAGAAATATATGGTGGCATCTTTGTATCTCCCACCAAAATCATTACCATGGTTATTGATTTAACATTTATTTGCAACTTTGGAACGTACGGGATGTTTTTTAGTGTCTATGTTTTTGTAACACCTTCCTTAATATTAACTTTTAACAACCGTAAATTTTGATATTCTACTTCTAATGCTAGGTAGGAGGCTCTGAGACAGCTGCAAATTACCATATTCAAAAATATAGAATTTTAAATTAACTGCACTTGGAAGGAAAGATTCAATTACAAATCAGTCACTTTAAAAAAATTATTCATTCATGGAAAGTGGGTGTTGCTGGCTGGGCTAGCAGTTATTGCCAATCTCCAGTTGCCCTTGAAAAGGTAGCAGTGAGCTGCCTTCTTGAGCTGCTGCAGTCCACGAGCTGCAGGTAGACCCACAATCCAATTAGGGAAGTAATTCTACGATTTTAACCCAACAATACTAAAGTAACAGTGATCTATTTCCAAGGATGGATGGTGAGCGGCTTGGAGGGGAACTTGCAGGTGGTAGTATTCCATGTATCTGCTTATGTAACTTATTCTCAAATATTCACAAATTAATCACAGAACACATGGTTATCTCAGAATACGAAAACTGGCTTGCTTCCCTATGAGCAATGTCACGCCATAAAGGTATTGTGCACTGTTTCAGTGCTAACACTACTGACCTTGGGTCAGAAGGTCACAGGTTCAAGGCCCATTGCAGAACTTGTGCATAATCTCAGCTGACAATGCTGCTCAGTACTGAAGGAGTGCTGGACTGTCAGAGTCTGCCATTTGCCTTCTTAGATGGATATAAAAGATCCAATGGCACCATTCAAAGAATTTGTTGAGGTTTCGCCTGGAGACCTTGCCAACAACTCTTCCTCATCTAACAACTTTGGAATAGGTTAACTGGGGAGCAAAAGCCAAAGAACAAGTTCTCTGGATGGAGATGACATCGATCTGTACACCTAAATTCCAAGTTTCACAGATTTTGGATTCCATTGTTTAGCCTAACCATTTTACATATATTATATTATATATATATGGTTCCTGCCTAATTATGAAATCATTCCTGGGCACTAAGAGGCCAATTTGTGATTTTCAGCTGTCATTCAAAAGCTGTCTAGCTCAGAAATACTGCTGCCACATGGCTTGATAGCACAGATTCTAGCTTTTCAAATCTTGACCAAAGTGGGTGAAGGGGAAAATGCTTTTTCTTTTGTTTTTACATGTAATATTAGGTGACTATCATAATTTAATACCTAAATATTGCTGATGCTAAATACCCCTTACTGTTATAGAGTCATACAGCATGGAAACAGACCCTTTGGTCCAACCAGTCCATGCCAAACATAATCCCAAACTAATCTAGTCCCACCTGCCTGCTCCTAGCCAACATCCCTCCTTGTTGAAAGATACTTTGCCAAATCTTTCCCATCCATTTTGAGCTACAAGTCCAGCGATGTTTGCTCCTACACCCACAAATATTATTTTTGAACTGTTTCAAGGATCTATCTTTGAATCCTTCATTTTCTTCACTATACAGTGTTGTGACACCTCTCTACAGCTGTAGTGAGCAACGAATTTTCCTCAGTTTAGGCATATTCTTTGGCCCTGACCACCAATTCTACACTTGTCCTCAATTTTAGTTCATCTCAGCTAGTCTCAGGTCAAAGTAGATTATAAACAATCTTGACATCCTACATGACATCAGATGTCCGTTCCTAGTCGTCACAATGAGGGGAGGTGACGGCCTAGTGGTATTATCACTGGACTGTTAATCCAGAGACTGGTCTGGGGACCTGGGCTCGAATCCTGCCATGGCAGATGCTGGAATTTAAATTCAATAAATATCTGGAATTATCAGTCTAATGATGACCATGAATCCATTGTCGATTGTTGGAAAAACCCATCTGGTTCACTAATGTCTTTTAGGGAAGGAAACTGTCATCCTAACCTGGTCTGGCCTACATGTGACTCCAAAGCCACAACAATGTGGTTGACTCTCAACTGCCCTCTGGGCAATTAGGATGGGCAATAAATGTTGCCTAGCCAGCAACACCCTCATCCCATGAATGAATAAAGATCTTCTTCAATATGTGTAACTACCTGCTTCTTTTTTTCTCTCAGCCCATATGCTATGAAAAACGAGATAAACCAATTAGAACGAGGTTGTACATTTAAATCTAAACATGGCAATATGCAAAATGGGGAATGATTTACTGTCCACCATGAATTATATGGCTCATATTAAGATCTTCTGAACTGGCCCCATCATCTTTCTATAGAAAGTGAGGCAGGCAATATCACAGGCTTGGGACACAAAATTGAAAATGCTGAAATCTGAAATTAAAAAAATGCTCAACGGGTTTGGTAGCATGCCTTCAGAGAGAAAACTGTAAAGTTTTCATGAAATAATCTTAAACCCTTCATGATTTTAAATACCTCTATCAAATCTCCTTTTATCCTTCCTTGCTATAAATAGAAATTTGGTTTCTTCAATCTACCCAACAGGTACAGTCCCTCATCACTATAACTATAATTTTTTTAGTCTCTTCTGTAATCTGTCACTGGACCAGGATTTCCTACCAGTCAATAATAGATTAAAGTTCACTTTGCAGACATGTTCCAAAACAATACCAAACAGTGCCAACTATATAGTACAGTTTAAGATTAAGAGAACATTGATAAGTTTACTATCCATAACGCATTTTACTATCTATCCAGATGCTGATGCCTGAGAATCCAGTGCAATTCATCTCAGAGATCATGATTCCTGGCATACATATCTGAAGAATTAGCATAAGTCATAGAAGTACCAGCATGGAAACAGACCCCTCAGTCCAACTCGTCCATGCCGACCACGTATCCTAAATTAATCTAGTCGCATTTGCCAGCATTTGGCCCATATCCCTCTAAAACCTTGTTATGCATATATGCATCCAGGTGCCTTTTAAGTGTTGTATTGTACCAGCCTCCACCTCTTCCCCTGACAATTCATTCCATATACGCACCAACTTCTGCGTGAAAAAGTTGCCACTTATGTCCCTTTTAAATCTTTCCTCTCTCACCTTAAACCTATGCCCTCTAGTTTTGGATTCACCCACCTTGGGGAAAAGACCTAATCTATTCACCCTATCCATGCCCCTCATGATTTTATATACTCCAATGCTCCAGGGAAAATAGCCTCAGCCTCTCCCTATAGCTCAAACCCTCCAAACCCTGGCAACATCCTTATAAATCTTTTCTGAACCCTTTCAAGTTTCACGTCTTTCCTACAGCAGGGAGACCAGAGTTGAACGCAGTAGAAAGTTGGGTTCGAAACTGACTCAAAAGTATATTTAAAAAAAACCTAGTTTCTATTCCACATACCAAACCTTTCACTAAAGACGAAATTAATCAGTTTCCTTCCTAAAGGCTCGTAACATTCATGTTCTGTGCTTGAAGGAGACGTTTCCATATTGTGAGCCCAATCCTCTGATTTTATGTCGGTAACATTTTGAATTATTTAATGTCGGATCTCCATTCCCCATGTTTTCCTTTTGTTTAAAACAAAACTTTTTTTTTCCTCTTGCAAACGTGCAGGGAAACTTTTATCGTTCAGTAAGTTTTCAGTAAACACACCGCGTACGGAGGTAACACATTTATTTCACCTGCTTCAGCTCTGAGCACTGCACTTGTTGGTTCACATTTCAGTCGAACCAAATAGCTGAGCTGCAGCCATTCCAAGATCAGCAGCAGCAGCCCCTAGACAATAAACATCGCAACCTCGTCCATCACATCACTGATGGCAAAACAACCCCTCGACTTGTTCAATAGACCGACATACCTCCCACCCTCCACAAACTGTCCAACTCACCGAAATCCAGGAACTGCTTTATGGACAGAGGAGAAGGGGAGAACCGAGAGTAATATTCGACCTGCTTCGGAATGGGGTTTTTCATCAAAAAGCCGAAGAGCCGCATGATGCTCCCTGGGTCGTCAGGCGTATTGATTATTAAAGAGTGGGTGGTGATTTTGGTTTTATCAAGCGATGCTTTGGGAGTGGGTCATTAGCAGTTTGTAGGAGAGAATGAGTGCTGATAAAGGCGGCCGGGCCCCCTCCGCCTACAGCAGCAGTGAGCAGTTTGTCTGTACACCGGCCCTTCTCTGTCTGTCTCTCTTCCTGATCGTCTCCTTTCGTCACACTCCTCTCTCTGGCGTCCGCATTGCCCATCCTCCCCCAAAGCCCCGCCCACGCACTGATGCTCGCGAGCCACGCACGTTAACGTTTGAAAAAGCCTAACGGTGACAGTTGACGGGAACCCCCGGCGTGAAGAGGACATTCTCAGCAATATCATCTATGCCAGACACCCCACCCACCCCCCGCTCACTCGAATGGATATACGTTTTTTTTCCGTTGATGGTGAGAGCTCTATTTATGAAGGGAATGTGTGTCACGGTGGGCAGGAAGGGGAGGTTGGGGGCGGTGTGGGTTGGAGGGCGGGGCGGAGGCGTGGGATGGGGGCGGGAAGGGGGCGTGATGGGGGCGTGATGGGGGCGGGGCGGAGGCGCGGCGTGGGGGGGGAGGGGGGGGAGTGATGGGGCGGAGGTGTGGGACGGGGGCGGGGAGTGGGGCTCGTTGGGGCGGGGAAGGTTCCAGCCAGTTGGCCGGACCTGTCGGGTATGCTGGGTAGGAACTGTCCTTGGCCGCTCAGGAACGTTCGCAAATGCACGTTGCTGCGGTGGGCCTGACAAGGGCGTCCGTGACATCAGGAAACGTGAGCCGGAGGCTCTCTCCATTAGCAAGCTGTCGCCTTTTCGGGTCAGGACGGCGACGGGGGACAAAGGAAGGTTTCTTAAGTGGCTGGCGTCATATCTGAAGCAAAAGTTAGCGGTTGTCAGAGGTCAATCATTGTAACCTAAGGCTATCTTGAGTTCCTGAGAACATCCTGGGCTGACTATTTAAAGCTGCATCGTCAATAACTTTTCCTGTCATCTCAGGCTGTTCACCTGTTGCCATGCTCTGGAAGATGCCTTTCCCCCTCCAAAAATCTACTTTATTCATAAAATTTATAAAAGTATATTTCCGTGACCATTGAATGTCTTTTCAAATTCACTTTCTTCTGGATCTATGTGTTAGGACATTTACAATTAATTAATATTTACTACACACATATCTTGAGTATACAACCAGAGCAAGTTTCACGGTTTGCCTGGGCATATTAGGGCTGAAGAACCTTAGTGGCTTTTCCCCAATTTTTCCCTTGCAGTTCTTCTCAGTGTGGCCTGTTTCCACACTGTAGGGATTCTATGAATGTAGCCCTGGAACTTAGAATGTGGCAGTTGGCATTGCAAAGTTATGGACAACTCATTACATAACTGGCCAAAAAGTTTCGGGTAGGCCAAAGAGTATACTTCACCAAGTTGTTAGTCCTTCAGCCACAGCTGAGGTTGTAGATTGTGCAGCTGAGTAAAGGGATATTCGAGAAAGATTATGATCTGCAAATTCTGAAAAGGAAGACATATTTGGTTAAATTCTATTTGTTGATTGCAATGAGGAGAGAGAGTGAATGCAGTTTCCTTCGTCACGAATTTTGTCAAGTATCCTGTATTTAGAGACGTTAGGCATCAGAACACCTGAAGTATCCTGACCTAAGCTATTTGTTTCCAAAATTAAACTTTATTCATCAAATGTGTAAAACTGCATTACAAAGCATTTCAAATTAAATATTGCAAAAAGTGAAATAAAGTCCAACTTTTCTCTCTAAACCGTGCCTCAATACAATTGCAAAACTCTTGATATTTCCTATACACATCATATGTCAGCCTACAGCCAGAGGGTTCCACACGGTTCCTGGGCACTCAGTATACTATAGAAGAAAGACAGTGGCCTTTATCACCATCAAGTTATATCTTCGTGCTTGTTTGAAAGTTCTGCTGATTAACCATTCTGCAAAATCAGTTTGACTGTTTGCTAGGGAATCATACAACAGAAATTGACATTTATTTGTCCATCAGGAGCTCAACGACATTAGGTGCCAAAGACTGTCTGTTGAACTTGTGACTAAAGATGTTTTTCTGCATTTTCTCACAAGACGCCGGCTGAATGAACAAATAATTTTTATTGTCACGTGTATTTTACAGAGAGAGATACATTAAAATACAGTGAAAAGCTTTCATTTGTCACTACAATATGGTGCCTTTTGATAGTTTAAGAATAAGAGAAAAAATGAAAAAGATATGCCTTTAAGAGAAGGCCATCTATTTTCGAGTTGTGAGCTGGCTCAGAACCACCACTGCCTCGCCAAACCCAACTAATGTCGAAGTAGCCAATCCTCAGGTACCATCTTTCATCGCTGAGCTGATTCACCTACGCCACTGCCTGCACCAGACTCACTAACGTCAGAGTCTCTCACCACAGCCCACCTCATCGATGTTGTCAAGATGCCCTTCCAACATCTCTTCACCGCAACTAGTGCCAGACTCAACCAATGATGAAGTTGTCGATCCTCAGGAGCCATCTTTCACCGCTGGGCCTACCTCACCTTGGGTCACTCTCCCCCATGCTGGACTCGCTGTCCTGTAACGTCAAGTCCTACGCTAATTGTAATGAGAAAGGTGGTAAGCAAGGTTCAACCACATGGAGTAAAAGCCCTTAGATGGTAGACTTTATCTATTGCACCTTTATGGGAGCTTTCTCAAGCTTTAATGCTTCCGCTAGCGAGCACTCTAGACTGTCAAATATCTGCAGCGCTCCATCGTCAACATCTCTGTGAACAGAAAAGGCCAGTTAAAGATTGGACATACCAAAGAGTGTATTTCAGTGAGTTTGGGATGGTTCTACAGTCTCAATTGATGTTTATTTCAGTGCACATCTCTTGGAATGTCCCGTAGAGAACAGTGTCCTGCTTCAAAGAGTTGTTCCAAATGAACCTCAGTAAATATAACACTGCATCTCTTTCTTTGCAAAGGTACATTATAAAAAGAAGTGAAATCAGTTTGTACTCAATCCTAGCCACCTCCAGTGTATCAAGCAGGTGTGCAAGTAGGATCTGATGGGCAAGGTCATTCTCTCCACAGCTAAGATACATCTTGGTGCTTTCTTGAAACCTCTAGTGATGAGGCGTTCTGGTAAATCATTTGACAGTCTACTTAGAGAGCTAAATGGCAGGATTTACCATCTTTTCCCACAGAATCTCAAGAACGTTAGGTGCAGATTACTGCCTGATAGACTTGTGGCAATGGGGGTGCTTCAGCATAAACATGTCCCCAAGAGGCAGATGGCGTGGCAAGGTCCAACTAAAATGAGTGTACCATGGCAATGTAGCTAGGCCATCTTTTACACCGTTGGGAAGGATAAAACCTCAGCCCTCAGCAGCACATGATGTTTATGCACTGAGGTCCAATGCATAAATTGATGCAATCTCGCTTAGGGCCTACACACAAATTGATGCAGCCACAAAGATGGCCTTCTGGAAGAGGTTACTATTGGGTACATTTTCTTTCACTATTGGGGTTGTTACACCATTTTCCAGTAAACATATTCCAGTTTTAACCTCCAGATAAAGGAGATGACTTGGGTGATTGGATGGTGCAAGAATTGGGAATAGGTCAGACCTGCACTATGTGCAGCAACACAAGAAGTGCCTCACACCTGAAGACCAAGTTCTTAATCATTTTGGGGAGCGAGCATTCTGTTTTGTTTGACATTAGCTACATGCTCCTTCCAGGTTTTTAGCATAAATTCCCTCTGAACCATATTTCTAGCACCTTCTGGTAGCCTGACCTGGCAGTGAAGGGGACAAAGAATCAGTCCGTCCAATTCTTAAAAACATAACTTTACTTTTGCTAATGATTTACATTGGATGACAAGGCCAGTTCAAATATGATTTCATATTCGCATCAGTTTGTGCGCTGACAGTGGACCCAAGCAGAAAACAATGACATCATCCATGTATGGGAAAGCTATGACTGGGATCCTCCACTGCCTGTGATTGTCACTGCACTTATGCTTGGATCCTTCCTGGATAGGCTTTACAAAAGACTTGGTACAGCACATGAATAAGAGAAGGAAGAGAGGACAGCCTTGCCTGATGCGAGATTTTATCAGGAGATTTGCAGATGCCCACCTATTGATTTAAACTGCACATGTTTCTGCAGAGCAGTTGGATATAATTGTGGATTCCTTCCAAAGTCCTCATTTTGAAGAACACATCCATCATGTAGATGTCTGAATATCTGTCAAACGCCTTCTCCTGGTCCAAAGGTACCAGGATCAGACTGATACCCAACTATGGTCTTGCAGTTGCAATCTATGTTTATTTCAGTACGCATCGCTTGGTATTTCCCATAGATATTTCTATCCCAAAATAGCACTAGGCACTCGGAGATCTTCATTGGCATGCTGATGCATTGCGTTTCAGTTTCACATGTCGATGCACACCGAAAGAAAAGTTACAGGGAGTATTGATTATGTATCTTAACTATCCCTATCTGCCGGACAGATTTCTGTCTGAATAGCATTCTTTCATTGTCATTGAGTTTCGTGATTTTTAAATGATGAGGTGAGAATTAGCATCCTGTGGATATTGCCCAGATATTTGAATGGGGTCCGACTGATGCGAGGAGATGTCAAGGTGGGGTTGGATTAGCAGTAAGGGAAGGAGGGAGGTGCCAGATCCAGAAGTGGGATCAGTGTGGCAGTAGGGAATGGGTTAGGTATTGGGTCCTGAAGTGGGACCAGACTGGTAGGAGGGTGTGTGGTGTGGGGAGATGGCATGTCCAGAGGCGAGGTCATGCTAGTGGCAAAGGAGGGTCCAAAGGGATCAGTCCACCAGAGGGAGAAATATTGTGTCCTAAAATGGTCAGGTTGGTGATAGGGGGTATCACATCCACAGAACGGTCAGTCTGGGGTGTTTGGGCAGGAGGAGGTGGTTGGTAATGTCAGGAATGTGGTATCACACGGTGGTGGAGGAGGGTCAGAGGGAGGCATTGAGTAGGGTAGGGGTCAGGGGTGCAGTGGGTAGTATTAGATCCAGCAGGGTCATGTCAACAGTGGGTCGTGGAATTGCCTTGAGTTAGGAAACATCTGGTCGGTGGATTGTTGTTAGGGATCCAGAGCAGTACAAGGCATCTGGGAGGTGTTTGTGGAGGTATCGGGGGTCAATTTAAACGTTATCCAGGAGTTAAACT